AAGCTGCTTTGGAACAACATAAAGGGGAAGACGGGTGTTTCTCACGGTGCTTTTCTCCAGAACGTTCTCTAAACATGTCTTGTTTCATTGTTACCCAAAACTGTGCAGACCAAACACCTTGCACTTGCCAAGGCGGTTGTAATTTCCAGTAAGTGTGCTTCTTTCCACAACACGACTCCGAAAATGCTACAACTATGTACTTTTCATGTTAATCAATTTTAAAAATCAGAACTGCTCATTTGTCCCGAGGCTTGCCTGATAGACAGCTAGGCAGCACGTTGTTGCCCCTCTCCTGTTTCTGTTACAGGAAAAGAGAGAACGGAGAAATCAGGGTGGGGCCGAGCCCCAGTACCCCAGTGTGGTTTTGAAGCACAGCCAAGGGCTGGCACCTCCCCAGTCCCTGCCTGCAGCCCTGGCTGAAATGCCTTTTTGAAGCACTAACAAGCTCAGGGCATTGAGAGCAAATAGACCCTCGGGAGAAGGAGCGTATACATATGGCGGCCTCTGCAGGGTCAGAGCCTCCCAACACGCGGTGGCCAGGGTGCTAGCTGGGTGTGTCATGTGCTGTCTTCTTGGGGGGCCAAGCAGGTGGGGGGGAGCCGTTCCCACATGCAAACCTTCCCATCATGCTCAGACTGACTGGGAGCAGCTAGCGCTTTTCTTCATGGCCAGTGATGTTGACCGCAAGCGAGTTGCTGCTGGCCCTGCTCGGGAGGCACCGTGGGTGCCCGGGGTTAGCTGGGAGGCAGCTCCCGGCCTGGGGGGCTCGCCGGCAGGCACACCTGCCCTGCTGAGAACAGTTTTCAACAGGAACAAGAGCTGGGAAGTCCTCTGGGTTCGCTCGGGCTGCTGCAACAAAATGCCCCGCGCTGGGTGTCTTAGGAACAACACAATCTGTTTCTCACGCTTCTGGGAGCTCAACGTCCAAAATCAAGGGGCCAGCGGGTTCGGTTCCTGGTGGGAGCTCTGTTCGGGGTTCGCAGTGGCTGCCTTCACACTGTGTCCACAGGGCAGAGCGAGGGAGACCCACGGGGCAGACAGGAAGATGGGGGGAGGGGGAAGGGGGGAGGGGAGGCCGGGAGCCTAGCCCTCTGGGATCTCTTCTTGTAAGGCCGTTAATCCCATGACTCGAGCACCCCCCTCATGGCCTAATCATCTCCCACAGGCCCTGCCTCCCAGCACCAGCACCCCAGGGAATTCGGTTTCAGCGCAAGAATTCCGGGTGGGGCACAAACAGTCCACAGAAGCTCTGGACCAGCCTCCACACATGTGATGTGCATCAGCGTCTGCTGATGTCCTTTATGAAAGGACAGGTCACTGCCCTGGGCCCACCTGAGGTTCTGGGTCCCCTGGACATGAGGCGGGGCCCAGGCCCCCTTGGACGAGAAGCCCTGGGTTAGGATCAACCCTGTGTGACCAGGACCTAGGGGCTGTCATCACAGCTCACAGATAGTTAGACCAAGAGGAGGAGGAGCCTTTGCAGAGGAAGGAGACAGGGAGAAGGTGGGGAGAGAAGCAGGGTGCATCATATACCCCCCTCAAAGCCAGACTTGTGGCTTCACAAGGCTGAAAACAACTGGGGGTTACAGAGCCCTGGAGGCGTGCCCACACTCCCATGCATGGCCTCATTCAGTCCTTGGCACCCCCGAGCGATTCCAACCTTTAATGCATTCACAGATGGGGAAATTGAGGCAGAGAGCAGTGAACTACCCTGCCCGATGTCACAACACTGGTAAATGGTGTAACTCAGAGAAAACTTCAGATGGCCTGGCCCCAGCGTTCATGCCGCGCCAACACTGGGGACGCGGGCACCGGCAGGAGCGGCAAGAGACGCAGGCGGACCCAGCACACCTCCCGAGGAAGCAGAGGGAAGGGCGGGCATGTTCCGAAGCTCGGAGTCATCTCCTAAAGACAGGAAACAAAGTTCCTGGGACTCCAGATCATGTTGGTGGCCCCATCGAGAAACTCAAAGTGGGGACCCCAGCGAAGCCATCTGTTCTACGGTTCACATCTTCCCGTAGGATTTCTCCTGAGGCTCGGCCTCGGCGCTTTGCGGCAGAATGAAGTACCCTCCACGGGAAAAACACGCGCGCAGGGCCAGGGCCAACGTCAGGATCAAAGACTGCTGCACAGGTTCCAGAGTCCGAAAGCTGGGACAATGTACACTGTTACCATCCAGAGTGGCATTTGTCTACCCACTGCGGGTGCCCGTGCCGTGAGAGTAACGGCTCCTTCATATGGTCCTTGGCTTCCGAAAATTCCAGCCAAACTCCCCCACTCCCAGCTGCTCAAAGAACAGCTTCCAAATCAAAGTTAAAAATAAAAAAAAATAGCTGCTTTTCCAATAATTTAACATCCCAGGCATTCATCCTGAGTGCCTGGGCAGGCTGGTGTTGAGCATGGTGCCGATGCAGGCTTGGAGGACTTCTTGGAGATGGCACATCTGTGAACTGCTTGTTCTACCTCCCTCTGAGGAGATGAGAACTGGGATGGCTTAGAAATGTTTGTAGCCATGTGACATTAGGGGCCTATCTAACTCCTTCTTGACAGATTTTTATCACATGCTCAGCAGCCCCTACAATTTCTGGGCAGATACAATGTGTCTCAACTATAACCCAACAGCATACAATATGGAATCACTTGATTAAAAGATAATTTTAACCATGATTTATCAAGATACATGGTAAAAACCGGCTTGTGATGCGGGACTAGAGATGAATGAAGCACCACTTGCATTAATTTGGGAAAACTGAAAAAGGAGGAACCTGAACCTGCTGGACTTCCTCCTCTGAGCACACAGCTCAGGAGAGTTTTCTCTACTCTGCTCGATCAGATCAGCAAGAGACGATCTCACTTGTCACATTAAAAATATTAAATGCTGACACAGCAGTGTTTGTTGATTGTATTATATAAAAGCGTGGTTTTGCAAGGGTTTGAAATTGTTTAAAAAACTAAAACCACCACAGATAGTTTAGGAGTCTCTGCCGTTCCATGGAATTCTCCAGGTGGGATGGGAAAGGGGTGTTCCTGTGTGTGTGTGCGCGCGCGTGTGCGTATGTGTATGTGTGTGTGTGAGAGAGAGAGAGAGAGACAGGGTGGTCAAACACAGGGGAAAGGGATAAAACTGCTCCTTTTCATCAATAAGAGCACCACTGTGTTGGGTAATTACATGTTGCATCATCTCCATGATAAACAAAAACATTTGCTTCCATTTTGGTCTAAATGAAAAGGAGCATTTTCCCTTTCCCAAACCAGCTTTGCCCCCAGCCAGTTGGCTCAGAGCCAAGGCTACTGAAGGGCTGGAGTCCCAGGGCCAGCCCGCCAGAGACCCTCTGCTGTCCCACTGCGAAAGCCAACAGTTGTAGGGACACAGACTGCAGAGCCCTGCCCCTCCTTCACTCGCTGGCCCTTCGTTTTACACACAATTTCATGGAAACCTCGCTCCAGACAGAAGCTGACCAGTGGGTTCACGGGGCTCCAAGGGACCCCCCCCGCAGAAAACCACTGCACAGAGCACAGCCCTGGAGACACAAGAATCTCCACTCAGTGGACAGGAGCCAATTCTCTTTTCCTGTAGAATCTACTAGTCCAAGGGCTGTGCATCAAACTAGTTTCAATGTACCTTCTGCCACAGAAGTGATTGCTATGGCTTTTTCTTCCTGCCCAAGACTCCAAATGCAGAGCGAATCGTTCATATACATGATTAGAGGGCCCTTGGGAAACTCTGCCCGTAGTGACAGGTGAGGGTAGGACTGCAGGTGACCATGAGCCCTCAAACAGGAGTGCTCGGGAGTCACAGAACCCAGAGCTGGCGGGGCCTTCGATTTTCTCTCCCTCGCAGACGTCTGAGTGAGCCCAGATGAGAGTCCCAGACAGGGCCTGGAGAAATGCATCCAAATGAACACAAGTACACAATTCCCCTTTGTCTGCACCGGGAAGGGACTGAGTGAGGAAAAGAGAAATTGCTTGGAATTTGTCAATCTGTGATTTTTTTTTTAAACTTCAGATCACTTCGTCTTCTTTAATTTGTAAGCCATCAACAATTTCCTTTTCCTCTCCTAGCGTCTTTCTGGATTTACCTTTAGGGAGACCAGCTGGTTACCTGTGGTGCACCTGCTGCACCCCGGGGTGTGCAGTAGAACCGAGTTCCCTCCCAGTGGCGCCTGGCTGGCTCCCCAGGGCCGCATCCGCCTGCTGGGGAGGGACCACAAGGAGCTTCCCTGGGGCTCTGCTGTTGGCATCTCCCACCCCGGCGTGCTGCCCAGGGCTCCGTACTCGGGGACAGCAAGGTGCTGGCCTCTGACCCTGCCCGAAGTCAATGCCACATCTGGCACTTGAGCTGTTTCAAATTCTCTGGGGCAAGAAGGCAGATGCGCTGAGCTAAGCGGTAAAGTGCTCCCTAAAACACAACCCATAAAATCGATGTGCTCCTCAAAACGAAAACTGCCATCTGCTGTCCTTACACATCCTCTCCTTACAAATTATGTTTCCTAAAGATGCAACTTTTGTTTTTTTTTATTGTATGTAATTCCAAATTCCAGCCAGGCAAGCTGACCCAGAAAGGCACGCTGGGGAAACCACCTTCCCTTACCCCAGAGCCTCACACACTCACCTGCTCACACTCACGGAGGCATGCACATGCCGGTACAACTCACTCACACCCGCACTCACACTCGTGCAAGTGCACCTGTGCAAACACCGACACTTGCTCGTGTGCACACACTCACGCGCACGGTTAGAAAGGCGGTCACGTGGGCAGGGAGGCCCGCTGGAACTCTCCTGCCCTGAGCGCCAGCACGCTCCTCAGAGCAATGGCTCCTTGGGTCTGCGCTGTTTCCTGACTGAGAGGCTGCAAGAGAGAAACGCTCTGAGCCCACAGAGCATTAGCGACTCGCTCCGCAGAAGAGCACAGGGACACCTGCGGGGGCGGTCGCTGGCCCAGAGGAATGTCTCCTCCCTACAACCAACCAGAGGGAACCCACCCAAGGCCACAGCGGTGGCTACTTCTCTGCCTCCTGCAGTTTCCTCTGCGTCTCTCGGAGGAGGCGCCGAAGCTTCCAGAACACGTCAGGGGCTGCTCTCCGGGGGCTGCGCGCGGTGCGCCCGGGGTCCGCGCATTCCTGCACCGCCTCCCGCAACTGCCGCTGCAGCGGGAAGGATAGGGCCGAGCTCCAGAGACTCGAGGAGAACCAGTGGCGGAATATCTTGTCACAGATGACCTGAGGGACGGCAGACGGGGCGGTTAGTGCAGGGCTGCAAACCCCCGGTGCCAGGGATGCTCTGGTCCCAAAGGTGCCTTCCCTCCCAGAACCTGAACCACTCAGCACCAGGAATGGAGTCCCGTGTCCGGCCCCGCAGCAGACGGCGAGGGCCCCGGTCACTGAAAACCCTCCGAAGAGAGAGGGGAGCAGAGAGCACTGGGCAGCCACTGCCGCAGAAGGAGTGGCCCCTCAGCCGAGTCACCACGTCGCTGAGGACTTGCTCGGCCATCAGTGGGTCACCATAACTCGCGATGACCACCGGACAGGGTTGTCATGAGGGTCCGGTGACGTGCGGGGGGAAGTCGTGGGCAAACATGATCGCATGTTGAGACACCTGGAGAAAAGACTATTCTGGAAGGGACTTTGAACGCTTTTATTTCAGGAGCAGAAGTGAAAAATTAAGCCATCATCTCGAAGCCTAGACTAACAGGGTACGAAATTCCCCCGAATCTGCAGATCTCCTTAAATCCTCCACCTAAAGGCACAGCCTGTTCCCACAGCTTTCCCAGGTCCCGCCTGCCAGGAGGGCTGCTCCCAGAGCTGCGTAATTAATGGGCTTTACTTTTCTGTGTTGCACTGTCTTGGGCTCACTGAACAGAGGCCTCAGTGTTGTAAAGCTACTTTTCATACAAGATAAGCAACTAACTTCTGTCTCCCCCTCCCTGCAAGGGCGAGGATTCTTTTTAAAAACAAATGAACTTAGTTCTGTTTTGAATTGATAATCCATGTGCAAAACTGTCCAATGTCCCCAAGGACAGACCATACATAAGTCCTAGGTCTCCATGCTGCTCCTGACCATCAGACACTCTGCTCCTGGCTCTGGGAGGCCATCCCTTCCTTGAATGTCCTTCTAGACAGAGTACACAAGCCTATACATGCATCTCCTTTCCCTTCCACTTTGCACAAAAGGCAGTCTTTTGCACACTGTTCTTCAGCTTCCATTCCCATTTAACCAAATACCAGAGAAAGCCTCCCATGTCGATTCTTACAAGGATTTCCTGTTGCTTTCATGGCTGCACCTCAAATGTGTGGGTAGATCATTGATTATTTAACTATTCCCTATTGGTGGCAATTGAGGATTATCCTAACTTTTGCTATTATGAACAATGCTGCAAGAAATATCTTTCATGTTTATCATTTTCACTTTGCGCATGTGACTAAATTTCTAGACTAGAAATTTCTGGGCCTAGAGGTATGTGCATTTTTTGTTTTAGTATCTATTGCCCAATCGACCCCATGAAAGTTGTCCTGAGATACACTCTCACAGCAATGTATGATGAGAACGCTTGTCTCCCCGACTGCTCCACCAAGACGTGTGTTGTCTTTCATTTTTGCCAACTGATGGTTTAATTTGCATTGCTCTTAGCAGTCAGGGTGAAAGTTATTTGTGCTTCCTTTCCAGTGAATCATCAAGTTGATATCCTTTGTTCACATTTCCATCAGATTGTTGGCCTTTTTCATATTAATTCGCAGATACTCTTTATATCGTAAGGACATCCCCTCGCTTTGGTTGGCTCCCTGGAGAGCGGACTCTAAGAGGGAGGTTTGCAGGCAAGGATTTATTGAGGTGCGTTCCTGGGAACCAAGCCTCCATGGACCTGAGGGAGAAGGAAATCTTCCGGTGTCCCTTACTGAGGCTGGAGACTGGGCTTCACGTGTGCCCCAGCTCCCACTGACCCATCCCTGGATGCTGCCCCTGACACTTGGAGTAGCCACGGCAAAGAAGCTCCAGTGGGGAAGGACAATCCCGGGGGACACTCTCTGAACCTCGGCAGCAGCTGGTGCATGAGGACCGCCTTTGTCTCCTGCTCTCTTGATCTGTACCAGCATTTGCAAAGTTTGCCCATTTTCTCATTTAACTGTTAAATTTTGCTCTTATTTGGGGGGGATTTTGTTTTGTTTTGTTTCCACTATATGGATTTTTTTCAAGATAGTGAAATCTGTCACATGTTCTTCCTATGGCCTCTGAGCTGTGTTCCATACTCAGAAAGGCCTTCCTTACTCTCAGGTAGTATTTTAAACTCTCCCAGTTTTTCTCTGGTACACTTAGGATCCTTTTTTTTTTTTTTTTTTTTTTTTTTTTTTTATTTTTTGACTCCTTTTTATTTTTTTTTTTTTTTTTTGAGTAAATACTTGAGCCCTCTGGAATTCAGTTTAGTCAGGAGTGAAATAGGAGCTACCCGGCTGACCGGCACCATTCATGCATACCCCAGCTACCTTCTGCTGCCCGAGAGCTACCTGTCGTTACATCTAGCTCTGAAATTTAAAAAAAAAAAAAAAATTCTATTCCTTTGCTCTGTCAGTTGGGGCAGGGATTATTTTTCTTTTGAGTAAAATTTTAAGTTAGAAAAGGAATACGTTAGGAAGCGATGGGGAGCCCAGCAATGGCGTCTGCTGGCCGCTCCATCCAGGAGACCCCCATGGGGTCATTTGGCCAACAGCCCCATGGGCCAGACGACACTGCCTCTCACTGTACCTGTCCCCACTGAGCACATCGAGCCCAGGTGGCATGGAAGGGGTGACCTGGGCCACATGAGCGGGTGCACTGTGCAGAGGGCAGTGGCGGCCCCAGAGAACAATGTCCCTCAGCCCACGCGGCGGCAGCCGCCTACCTGCAGGTTGCTGTTGACTCTTTCTGCTCCACACTTCTTGACGCGCAAGTCACACTTTGAGAAACAGTCGAAGAAATTGCAGTCTTCATCTCCCGTGCAGTTCTGCTCGAGAATTTCCCTCATTTTAGGTTCAAAAAAGGCCATGTCCACATCAATGGCCACCACCTGTAACCAACACAGCACATGGCCATCAAAGGATGCCGGGGCTCAGTGACCTGGCAGCCAGGGCACCTCCGTTCCCTGTTTGCAGTGCAGGCGCCTGCTGGTTGTGGGATCACAGAACTCTGCCTGCCAGAAAGAGGAGCCAGGCTGAGCTGGGGCGGCGCCTGCTTTATTCACAGAAGCACCAGGCATTGACCATATTGAGAGGCTTTCACTGCAAAAAGGACTTTTGCTGTCAATGGCGAAAGCCTGGGATTTGGAACTATAACTAGAAGTATCATTTTTCAACTTTAAACACTTTTTCAGCTTTAAAAGTAGGATCTCTGAGGGGTGCCTGGGTGGCTCAGTCATTTAAGGGTCCGACGCTTGTTCAGTTCGTGATCTCGGGGTCCTGGGATCGAGCCCTGGGTCCGGCTCCACACTCAGTGCACAGTCTGCTTGAGGATTCTCTCTCCCTCTGCCCTTCCCCCCACGCACTCTCTCTCTCTCTCTCTCTCAAATGAATAAACAAACCTTAAAAAAAAAAAAGCAGATTCTCTGAAATGTCTTAAAAATAAATGAATTCCCCTCCCATTGCTGTATCACTTTGGCCTCTGGCCTTTAAGGACCAGCATTATAAATGCTGTGAGACCCAGATAATTTATCCCCATGAATATCAACAACAAAGAAACTGAACTCCCGGGGCAGGTCTATGGGTATGAGGGTGTAATTGGGTGGGCAGGACCTGCGCTGTCTACTTATGGCAAAGCTGTGACCCGAGTCAACTGGCTTCCTACTGATGCTCGGATGGACGTGTGGTTGTGAAAGACAGCATCAACCCTCCCGCGTTAGGGCTGGTGCGTATGGACCCTGATCCAACAGCATCAAATACTAAATGTCGCCGTCAGCAGGAGCCCACGATTGACCCCCCGGAATTTCAGATTTATCTTCTTGGCTTCAAACCAAATAGGCTTCAAACCAGAAAAAAGGAAGAACATCTACATTATAAGGATTTTCCACCACCACCTGAATTTAAAAAATAAAAAAAGATGATCTCAAACTTGATAAAACCTGGAGTCTGCCCAAATCAAGCAGTTCATAGCTTCAAGGTATTAAAAAAGCTCTTGGAAGACTTGATGAATTTGATGGAGTCTGTGGCATCTCACAAGCCTTCACAGGCCATCCTCCAAACACGAGCCCTTCCTTCTGCCTTTGGTAGCATCTCAACAAGGTCTCATTGGCTGGGGTCCATTTCCTCTGCAACTCACAGTGTTAGAAGCTACATTCCCTGGTTTGGATTTTTGTTGTTCACTCAGGGGTGATGCCAGAGGCAGTAAACTTCCTTGGGGGATGATTCAGTAAAACAGAAGAGGGAAAATAGTTTCTTTCAAAATATATGGAGAATAATGAACATAAAGAACAGGGAACTTTTCCCTACTTAGGAGCTTTGCCTAATTACTAATTCAGGCACAGCAAACAGATATTACAATTTTAATCAATTTTTCCTGTCTCATTATTTAGCCAAAAGAAATAGCTAATTTCGCTATTTAACCTAGCTAATACACTAAAAATATATTAGGCTGTGCTCATGAATCTATTGTCTTCACAATTTATTATCAGGACCACAGGGCCTCCCTCCTTTCTATACTTTTTGGCAATCTCCCCAGCCTCCCCTGGGCCCCTACGTACACTTTCAGCTCCTTGTGACTTCTCGCTCCCATTCCGATTGTTCCCTTCTCATCCGTCTCCCAGGGAGAGCCAGATTTATTTTTTAATTCTTAGTGTATAGTGCAGAATGGATTACAGCTTTTGTAAGCCTAACTCCACACACCTAAAATAAGAACAGCAACCAAGCCAACAGAAAGAACTGCATACAGCTTCTTTAATCGTTATCAGGAGAATCCTAACCCTCTTCCTGCATGGAATGACGTAACTCGCATCTTCATCAAACTTCACCCCGGCATCAGACTAGAAAGGGTTGATGAGAATTGTTTCATTCCCCACTGAACAGTGTGGCTCTCAAGTAGGACACACATCTGTTTGAAAGGAGCGCTTGTTAGCAACGGTTTGGAGGTATGAAGCAATGGTGTTTCCCATTTGTTCCTTTGCAACCACTAGATGAATTCTCAGGACCTATAAGTGGGGCCCTGGAGAGAAGGAATGACTGCAAGTCACCACATCCCACCCCCAGAGTGTCGGACCCAGCAGGTCTTGGGGGGAAGGCAGAAAATCGGAATTTCTAACAAGTTCTCTGGTGATGCTGACACCGCTGGGTTTCATTTAAAGTTGTGAAATCATAGGTAAAGTTAACAAACTCAGTGTCTGTAAGGAGGTCAGTAATGCCAGGGTTAGCCAAGGGGGACCCCCGTCCTCCCTCCCCGTTCTCCTTCGAGAAGAGAAGAGTGCAGGCAGAGGCAAGGGCCTGTGTGCCCCAGCATAGCCCACAGGGCACAATCTGGGACCAGGTCAAAAAGTGCAGCCATTATTTCATTGAACAAATATTTCGTGCCTATCATGCACAAGATGCTGGAAGGCACAACTCTAGTGCAGTGCACAAGCCAGCAACGTGCCACGTTTCCCTTTCCCCGGGGAAGACTGGTCAGCTCCCCCTCCTTCCTACAGCCTTTCCTGGGAACCCAGCCGAGGTAGCGTCGCAGTTCCCTCAAGTGTTACTGACCCTGTGGGGTTCCGCTTGCTGACACTCCATAATACTTGCTGGATGAAGAATCGGGTGTCAGATGAGCACTGGCCCCCTAACCGCCAAAGCCAGTGGTGTGAGTGGACGCGCCACACCTCCTTTCCCAGGGCCGTGGGGTGCCTGGTTTCCCAGGACTTCACTGAGAAAGAGAACGGTGGTCCTTCATGTCCATTACATAAACTTTCTGCTCATGAATTAGGGAAGCTTGGCCAGGATTTCACCTCCAAAAAATATGCTGGCAGAGTTCTGGGGTGTCCCTCCCCTTCACAGCTCAGACCATGTCTAGAGGTCTTGTGGAGCTCAGGATATTGCAGACGGAGCTGAACGCCTCCAGAGCTCACCACCCAGAGTGCAGACCCTCCGGGAACCTCCCAGAACCTTCTGGAACCTCTCAGCTCTTTCCCTTCCACACTTGGAGCCACCCCCAGCTTATCAATCCCTCTGGGGCAGCCAGGGACAAGGAAGGCATTAGGACAAAGTAGTTTGGGCAAGTTGCCACAATGTTCCTCACAGTGACAAAGGACTTGACTGGAGAAGGGGTTTACATGGGGGCACACTTAGTTTTCCAGATTTCAGGCTGTTTTAAGCAGGCATTCCTATGCTACCTGCCGTGGAAGTCCTTGGCTGGCAGTAAGAGAGCCCTCTTTTTGTCCCTTTATGTTTTTAACCAGGAGGAAGAGCACCCTTCTGCCATGAGCCAGCACCCTCAATGAGCAGCCCCCTGGTGTGGCCGAAGTCAGGTTGGCCTCACTCGCCAGCACTCAGGTACCAGCTGACTTGGTGCAGCCTGGGAGGGGAGCACCAGGGCACAGCCCCCTCCCACTGCCCACCCCACACCCACACCTACTTGTTCTCAAGCGGTCCCAGCACTTGTCTCAGCACAGGGGAAGGACACCTGTGTTCAGGCACCCGGGTCACCACAGCATTAATCTGACGCTCGGGCTGAGCCTCGCTGGGGGGAAGCGGGAGGGGGTTATCTTACAATAAAACACCGAGGTCCCTCTTGCTGCTTCTCCAGCACGTTTGATTCTTTGCACACCTGCATTGCCCGGAGTGGGAGACGGACTTCATCTACCCTCTACAGAGTGGCGCAGAGGCAGACACTCCGCGTGGGCAGGGCTTTCCCCTGGAGAAGGCACCAGAATTCTAGCTGTCCCTCTAGAAGTCTCACCCATGGAGGGGAGACTAACTAGAACCGCTCCAAGAAGGAAGTATCAGGAAAAGCCTGACACTATCACACAGCATGGGCGGTGTGAAAACAGCATCCTCCAACTAGCCGTGGCACGAAAGCCCCCAAGGCCACCCTTCTTTGTCATCTGCTGTGGCTCCTCGTCTCCTGAGCATTGTTTTCTGCACTCAGCAGGCACTGACTTTCTAATTAGGTCTAAGGAGCTGCTCAGATGCTTTGGAGAAACCAGAAGAGCCACGAGGGAGGACAGACCTGCTGTGGGTGCCTTCATTATCATCTCCCATCCAGGGAGGTGCACGATGCCTGTGTTCCTCAAATTCTCTCATTCACACCCCAAAGGAGGTGCTCCGGCAGGTCCGGCTTGCCCAGGCCGGAAGCTTGCACAAGGTTGCAGTGGCCCCTCCAGATTTCAGAAACCCTCTCCTAGATCCTCTGCCCCCGCCGCCCGCCGTGACACGCACGCCCTCCCCATGCCACTCACCGTGAAGTCACTCCTGATGGCAAAGTTTTCAGGCTTGACGTCGCAGAGATGGAGGCGGTGAGAGAAGTCGTCCTCGAAATGGCTCACCATGTCCAGGAAGCTGAGCGCCATGTCGCTGACGGCCTTGGCCTGGCCCCGGCCGCCCCGGGGGGCCCCCGTGGCCCCGTCAAGGGGGAAGAGGGCCCGGTGGCGGGGGCTGCCGGCGGCCAGGTACTCCACCGCGTAGAAGTGGCCACAGGAGCCCAGCACGGGCAGGGCGTGCCGGCTCAGGTCCTGCAGCAGGCTGAAGAGGACGAACTCCTCCTGCTGCAGCAGGGACCACAGGCTGGCTAGCTGGCCCCGCCAGCGAGGGCCGCGCCTCCCCGGCCACAGCGGCCCCAGGCTGCCGCCCGACAGCTCCAGGCCCAGGGCGTTCTTGACCTCGCCGGCCACCAGCAGGAGCAGCTCTGCCTCGGGGAAGTCCTGGCCGCCCTCGTCGGCCGCGTCCTGCAGCAGAGCGAGCGGCTGGAAGCTGGAGAAGGCCTCCTCCTTGGACTTGAGGATGATGGGCCGGCCACGCCAGTCGGCCTGCAGCACCTTCTTGCCCCTCTCGTAGTACAAACAGCGCTGGTACAGCAGCTTCTCCCCCACGCACAGGTCCTCACAGAGGTCTCCCACCAGCACCCCGCCCTCGTACTCCCGGCACTGCAAGGAAGGGGACAGTCAGTCACAAGGCGGGAGCGACCCTGAGGTCGCTGGGCGGGGGCAGGGAAAGGGGCCAGTGGGTCCCTGCGCGCGGATGCTTTGATCAGCTGTTGGGAGAAACCTCACAAACGTGAACCACGCAGGCTATTTGGGTCAGTGGGTAATTCACTGAAAGAGCTAAAACAGTGTCTCGTATTTATTACATTATTCACCCAGGCCCAGGTCTTCAGAGTCCGGACACCAGAGGTGAGACACGGGTTCCCCCCCGCCCCGCACCACCGCGCCCCCTTCCAGCCACGTGCTGCTGGGAAAAGCCTTTCACCCGCTGGTGACCGTTCCGTCAGCTGTCAGAGACAGGGCTGTCCGGGCCAGAGGTTCTCGACGCTGGCCACACGTGCAGGTCGCCCTGGGGAGCTTTGAACACCACCATCCAAGAATGGCTAAGTCAGATCTCGGAAGGGGGCGTCCCCAGCGAGCATCACCTGGTGCAGGCCAGCCACAGTGACCACCCTCCCAGCAGTTCCCTCGGCCCGCTTCTGTGACACCAAGTGGTGCCGCCTCTAAGGCCAGCAAGTCTGGAAGGGCGACAGGGCTCGGAGGGGCACCCTCAGGAAAGATGAGTCAGAGGAGGCCCCGTGGCTGGCCGTGCCAGCAGGACTGGAGACAGGCGCATCAGAGACTGGCCCTCCAACAACGGCCAGGTACGTAATTACAGGCTCTTCAGAGCCTCGGGTCCTTTCATGCTGGTCAGCTTTGCATTACAAGCAGCTCAAAGTCAGACAATGTACTTCCAATGCCTGGATATAGGAACAATTCCAAAATCCCAAAAGCTCTGAAAACTACAACATTTGTGACTCAATGAGCCTCACCTGGTACTAAACCCCAACTGAAGAGTTGTGCGGCTAATTATAGTCTGAGTGTATTCGACTTGGTGTGAATTTCCATACATTGTGCTGCAGAATTATTCATTGGTTTCATTACTGGTTCTGCTTCATATGCAAAATACAAGGTATATGATCCATATTATTTTTCTAATGCCCAAAAAAGTGTGACTTCAAAAACATGCCTGGCCCCAAAGTGTTAGATAAAGGATGGTGGACCTTTATAAATACTCTAGTTTAATTGTTCAAAGCACGCATTACCCGAATGCTTATTAAAAAGAAATATTCCCAGTTCTTAAAACAAGTCTCTGAATTTTCGGGACCATTTCAGGCAGTAGCTGGACAAGAGCCTGAAAGACCCAGGCCATGTCGTCTGACCTGATCCTGGGGCTCTCTGCTGAAGGAGGCTCCTGGGAGCCATTTCTCCTTTGTGGGCTTTCGATCTTAGTGTATCACCTTGGGTAGTGAGTGTGTCAAACTCGCCAAGCACAAGGATGCAAGTGACGGAGACCTGTGCCTGGTCATGAATCTGCCCCCAGAGCTTGGGGGTGCCAAGCTTGGCTGCTTTTTTGTCTTTGGAAAACAGACACCCGTGATGACGTTGTGTTAACAACTGTGTTAAACACACTTGATGCTGTGCTCATCTTGCAATTTAACATAACACACGCTGGTAAAATGCCATCCTCTTAATTCCATGGCTTGGGGCCAAGAAACGAGTGTTGAAAGGATCAGGACCCTTTGAGTCACTCACTCTCTGCTTAGAATCGCTTCCATATCACCCCTTGTAAGTCACAGCCACTGACTCGGGCTGCCCCAGACCTCTCAGGATATTCTCAGAGGGGAGGTGGGAATGAAAGGGTGAAGTGTTCTAGACAACCAGGAGCAAAAGTTATGCATGATGGAAATAACGTGGGCCATTCGTTTTACTTGTTGCTGTTTTTTCCCCTACGCTATCTGGTATTTACAGAGTTTCACATTTCTTTAGTAAACGTCCTTATAAAGTCCCAAAATTCCTTTAAGTTGATACCCAAAATTATTTGATTCAATTCCATAAATATCTTTGGAATGTTGTCACATTTAGAATTGAATCAAAAGTGCTTCTGTATGAAGCACAGAACAGGAAAAGAAAAGCAGGTGACAGAAACGGTCTGGTGGGAGGGGTGAGTCCTGAGCTGAGAGCTTCAGAATTCTGGGAGAAGCCAGAGAGAAGGGTGGAGGGCGACAGAGTCCAGCGTGCTTTGGGTGGCAAGTGTGGAGGGCTTCCACTATGAAGGCCCAGGGCCTTTACTTTCATCCCGAGCTGCGGCCAAAACTGCCACTGGCCAGGAGAGACACCTGTGGGCCAAGGAGACCGCTCCACTCCTCTGGGACTGGGAATGGCCATGGGCAAGGCCTTGCTGCTCCAGCCACACGAGGCCACCCTCAGATCAACAATGCCACTCTCCCGACTTCACCCAGCTGCATGTGAGCTGAGCCCCTATCCAACTACAGGTACCAGGCTCAGGAGTTCACATTACGGAGGTAGCTGCTTTCCAAACTCATAAATGAGAGCAGAGGATGATCTGTACAGGATAGGTACACTGCCAGGCTTGGCTCTGGGGCAGACTGGGTTTGCCTCCTGGCTCTGCCCCGGACCAGCTGGTGGCTTGTTTCCAAGTCTATAGCATGGGATGCTGATACAGTGTCACAGGAGCCCTGTGAAGGTCAACCAAGGTCACAGGTGCAGAGGACCCATGGTCTCAGTGAATGCTACTTCTCTCCCACCCTCTCCAGCCCTGGTCATTGGGGGGGGGGGGGGGGGGGGGGGGGGGGGGGGTGGAGAGGGAGGCTTCTTCCCGGAGAGATGTGCCTGAGCTCAATTTTGAAAGCCTAATTGCAGCGTGCCTAGCAGAGAAGGAGAGAGGGGGCAGTTCCATTGCAGGAAATAAGCTGTGCAAAGAGCCAGAGTTGCAAAGTAGTGTGTTCAGAGAACCAGATACAATTCAGGGGCGTGGAGAGAAAAGTTAGTGCAAGCACTTGTGTGTCACGGACCGGGCTGTCCTATGAAAAGATGCCATGTCTGACCAGACAAAAATGCTTCTACCCTGCAAGGGCCAGATCAACCTTCCACGGGTGGGGAGGGGGTGGGGAGCTAGCCCCGCTGCCCCTGGGAAGCTTCATCTCCGTCCTCAGCGCCCAGCTCCCAATCCACCAGACTCACTGGCACATCCTCTCTCCTACGGACTCCCCACAGCACAGTGTTTTCTACAAAACTACCCTGCATTGATGAAGTCGAGTTCAAATCAAATTAAAATCTATGCAATTTTGCCCCTGCAAATTTGGACGGCCATTCCAAACAGGAGTTACAAGACATTTTGAACAATGGTATAATGATCGAATTTGGCATAGAGCCTATCAGTTTTGGAGGGGAGCATTATTTGGGGCTGTTTTCCTGAGGCTTACCACATTGGGGTAGAAGTGTGCCTCCTGGAGGGCTGACAGCTTCGGGGGCTGCAGTGTCGAGCATCAGAAAGGCCAGGAAGTGGAGCGAGGTGCCCAGGACCCCAGAGGGCCTCCAGCTACCATAGGGGAGGTCTTGGGTTTATGACCTAACTTATGGTACCCCCGTCACCTCGTTCATCTTAGGAGATAGTTGACACTAGAACAGGGTGTGCACAGTGTGGTTATAACAGAGTTGCTCTTCATCATCATCCTTTAGGATGATGTGTTTTTGGCATTTTGGGTCCGTACTCTCTTACAGAGACCGTAAAATTCATGCGCCAGGGCTCTGCTGCCTACCAGCGCTAAAGTGAGTCTGCACAATCCTTTGGCAGGTCTGTGCCTCCTAAACCCGGAGAACAATTAACCTAGCATTGAAACACGAGTGAACTTAAAGGGCAATTTACAAGTTTATGAGCTCATTAAAAACTGCCATCATGTGAGAGGAAATAGTGAAATTATTTTATGAGCAGCATGTCCTACTGAAGTAGCTATGTTTTAACTCAATAAAAGTGGTTTGTTCACTTGAGCTCAGTGTTTAAAGTCACTTTTCTCTGAAAACGAGGGGGTGCTGCCAGCATGAACACAGGTAAACTTCTGTACCCAAATGTGAGTACACACAAAATCCACAGGTATCACATTTTAAAATAAACTGAAAAAAAAAAACAAAACAAAACAATCAAGTAAACAAAGTCTCCTTACCATTGACAGGCATTTTTTAATTACTTAAACTCACAGTGGATTTGTGTTTCTAGACTTATGGGCATCCATACAAACGCATGTTCCCAGAATTCTCAGTTCTGGTAGGAATGTCTTAGCCGTTGTTGCTTAGAATCTCTCCAGCTCGGATCATGGTTCTCAGGCAAAAACAAAACCTGTCCACTGAGTCTGAGAAACTGCTGATGGGGTCTCAGAGGTCATGCCTGAAGGCTGGGTTTTCTTTTGTGTATTTGTTTTTGTTTTTAAGGAGCATGAAGTCTCTACGTGGTTAGCAACAGAGCATACGATAGAACTCCTTCCCTGAGCAGTTGGCTGTGCATTGCAGAATCTCAGAGCATTTAGCTTGTCTACTGTGCAACCTCTCTTGACCCCTGGATGGCTCAGAAGATACACATTACAAACACGGCCAGAGCACTCGGGAAAACAGAGACATTCCCTGCTATAAAATCTTTCTGGATGCTGTAGTCCCACTGGGACCATGGGTTTCTACCACAGCAAAGAAAGTTAAGCCTGCCCTATGAAAAAGCAATTTCTACTGTAGGCAACTAAATTAAGTCACATCAAGAGCTAAAGAGCCAAAAGGGAGTTAAGCCTTCTGAATAACAGAGCCCGTGGGAATATTTTTGAGATGCCTTGAAAATGATATGCTACGGAAGGATGAAGAATATCCAGTTGTTACTCAGGGCTTTCGTTATCGGGGAAGCCACTGATTGTCATGGAGTTTCTACTATCACACTGCACAGAGTCCCATACTGTCTCCAGGACACAATGAGTGCGTGAATCAGGGTAAGTTACTTTACGTCCCAGAGCTCAGTTTTGCCATCTGTGAAGTGAGGGGAGTACAGGTTATCGAAGGGCTGAAGTGAACTAATACGCAGAAAGCTACTTAGCCCAGGGCCTGTCCACAGCAAGCACAGTGGGCGCCCACAGCACGTATCTCTCTGCTGTCATGTGCAATGCTCTGCCCGTGGAACGGGGAGCCAGGCTTGGTGACGCTCACCAGCCTGGGATAGCCCGGGACACAGCTCACTAGAAAAGAAGGGCTCTAGAAACCTCAGAGAAGTTGAAGAGGGCTTACAGATGTCTTGATTATGAGATGTGCTGAAAAGCCATGGTCCAGAGGAGCACAGTGGTCTGACTCAAAAACCTCCAAAGCTAGAGGACCCAGGGCTCAACTCCTTGGAACAATTCCAGTTGGCTCTTCCAACTCTCCCCCAGTCCAGGGCCATGAAGTGCACTGAGCTCCCTGGGCAGGAGGGGTGCCGCCTGAGGGTGCCAGCCAGCCGGATTCCCAGCTCCCTGAGCTCTGCACCTTTGTCTACAGACCCCTCCACAGGCCAGCAATGGCACCTGCCACACTGGCGGCCTGGGACCCCAGCAGGGGTGCAGGACTCCCCAGGCTCTGCCAGGGAGGCAGAGGGCTCCCTCTGGCTCAGCTGCAGTGCACTCCTTCTGTGCTTGGTGTTCCGAGGGAAAGCTAATGAGGGTCTGGAGAGCAGTCAGAAAAATAACAGCCAGTTTTCTTATTAAGGACAAAAGCCAGGCAGAATGAATTGAAAGTGCCCGGGACCCTAGAGACAGAGGGTCGATTCAGCCCGAGTCCTGGGCGGCCACCATGCCAGGCTCTGCGTGGCAGCCAGGTCCCAGCAGAGTCTGGGTTGTGGAGACCGCGGGGCTGTTCAAGCCCCGTTCGAGTTCAGAGTGTCCTGGGGCACAGGGAGCCAGGGTGCTGGGTGGGACTAACACCCACAAATTCAGAACAGAGAAGGTAGAAGGGGAGGAGGCAAGGAGAGAGGGAGAGAAAGGCAAGCCCTGAGCACAGGTGAGAAATAATGGCCTCGAACAGGGCGCCCAGATGATGCTCCCCGAAAAATCAGTTCACTGAGACAACATCAGATGACCTTCGGGAAGACAGACAAAGGCAGTATTTCAAATTGTTCTTTGGGCAGTAGGCAAGATGGGGAGCCTTCAGAAGCAGAGCCCATATCTTCAGCTTCATGTCAGACTAAAAACAACCCCAGCTGGCTGCCATTAGAGATATATTGGTAGAACCTCTAACCAGAATTGGTTTTAATTTATGAGCTGGCATGCTGGGAAAATTATGATTAGCAATTACCTAAATTATATTAGGCCATAAGTCCATTAGTCCTTTTCCCACTTAACCAAAGATAAATAAGTGAAAACAGCATTTTTATTTTAATGAAAAAGATGATTGCATTATTTTTGTAAACAGGTATTCCATCCTGGAAAAAAACCTCTTTTTGTTCATTAAAATTCGTCAATCAGTCCCCCCAAAACAGGTGAAATAAGCCTTGTAGAAGGAATTTGTATATGGGTTACTGAGAAAGTTGATGAGTTGTAAGTTAAAGAAAACTTGATAGAACTTCAGTGTAACAGCCCATATAGATGACTGATAATACGTGATTGAGAGGATGGAGGGAATCGTTGATGAGGGTCTCACATTATGATCAATCCAGATCAGACTCAATTAAGGAATATGATTTGCGTTCGTATGTTTCAGTCCTTTAATTTTTCCAATCTCACTTAAATTTTTTTTTTAACTTTTAGGCTATGAAAATTTGAAAACCTACAATCTCAAAAACCCCGCCCATATGTAAGCAATTGGACTGTAAACTTCCCATGCGTTTTTTGAAGATTTCTTATAGAAAATAGATCAGCTTTCACAGCAAACGCTCAGCTAGATGGTCACTGTATTAGGAAGTGAATAAACACGTAAGAAACCAAAGGGGCAGTTTTTGCCCGCTGTCTTCACCTTTTCGGCTTTCCTTTAGGGGATTCCTACCTCTTTCCAAGTCTTCCTAACCCCCATAATCTTCCGGACCAAACGGAGAGACTGAGAGCCGCCAACGTTTGGAATGAACGGATGAGCATCTGGGGCCCAGGGCACACAGCAGCCTGCCCAGCCCAGCTAGGACCACTCAGGCCCACGCCTGTTCGGAGACCGCTGTCTTGACCCCAGGACAGGGGTCTGCGGGGGTCCGCTCCCCTGGGCGCACTCTGCCTGGGGGCCCACAAACCGCGCCCGCGAGAGCCGCGGCTTTGGGGCGCAGGGAGTCAGGGGCCCTACCAGCCGTCTGCGTTGGGCTTGGCGAGATGCACCCAGGTTGGCATCATAGAACGGCCGCTGAGCGAGAGAACCCGAGAAGCAGAGGCGTGGTCCCCGCCCGCCCCGAGCCCCAACACCGGCCCGCGCCGTCGCCAGCGCCCCGAGCCCGGCCGCCCCACACGGGATGCGGGCACGGAGGGGCTGTCGGGAGACTCGGCGCAGACCTGCGAACTTTCCAAGGGCGGGCTCAGGGGCGGCAGGAGAGCCGTTTGGCAGGAACTCTATCTTGGGACAAAGGACCAATTTTGACGAAAGGAGGGAGACTCCTCCGCGCGCCCACAGACTCCCGGGCAGAGGCGGGTTGTACGCACCGGGCATTCCATTCACCGTGTCGGGACCCCCGCCCCCCGGGTGCCACGACCGCGCCCGACTCCCCCGCTCCCGGGGCCCGCGGAGGGTGTCCCACCCCAGGCCCCCAGGGAGCGCGGCGCGGGACAGTGCAGCGGCGGGACCTACCAGCGCGGCCAGGATGCGGCGGCTCTTCTCGTCGGTGCAGCGCTCCGAGAGGACGCCCGGGTGCGCGCGGAGCAGCAGCGCTGCCGCCAGCACCCAGCCCGCCGTCCACGCCGCGCAGGCCAGCAGCGCTCGCCGCCCGCGCCGCCCGCACCGCCCGC